CCCGTCTGACACACATATAGAGCCGATATTGAGTGACATGAAGCATATGCATTGTTACAAACAATGGAAAGAGGTTATCGTGCTCTGATGCAGCTGCTGCTCTGTGAACCAATGAGAGTGAAGATATTTTAGACATCTTGAGACCTCATGTTTTGTCTGGAGGTGCTCATTGTTTCCTCGTGCAACCATACATTTGGATTTATTATATCTTAAGAATGAATTATCTTTTAACGGGATCTTTTAACTGATCACTTTCAACAAATTGAGAAATAATTGCAAGATTGAGAAAAATAACAAATGTCAGGGTTAGAGAGTAAGTATCTATGTTAGGTATCTTAATCAATAATTTCCTTAATTTTAGAAAAACAACAAAACTGACCATGCATTTGTGTTTTTCTCTCATTTCTTTCCTCCTTTTGTCAGCCTTCGGCTCTTGCCGAGTTTGTTTTACCTCCGTATCTGTGAATTTCCTTCTTTTTGGGTGATGGTGGCAATAGAATTCATCATTTTCTCTCATGTTTAAGTTAAGCTGAGCACTGTGTGTGTGTGTTGGGGTCAGTTTGTGTGTGAGGAGGTTAAAACCACGCTTTCCCAGGCCCACACAATGCACTCACTCTAGGGGAGGTGCACACACATGAGGGGCCCCTGTCTGCCACTATAGTCTATGTCTAACACACACATCAGCACAGGGGTTCGTGTGTATTCCTAACACCAGGATCACTAGATTCTAGGATGAAGACAATGAGGTTGTTAGGTTAGATTAGTTTAGGTTTAACATGATGTCCAGTTTAGCTTAAACATTTAAACATCACAGGGGTTTTGGCACAACTTTACCTACTTTCAACATTCAAGTGGGAGAGCAAGGGTTGGGGAAAAAAGCCTAGGGGTCAACTGTAAGAACATGTTTAGGCAACTAAAACCATGGCTGTAGTTCTGACGTCTTTAGGATCGATTAAAGACAGGTAACGTTTCCAAATTAGGTTAATCCACCAAAGGCTCCACAAGATGCTATGGCTTTCTCCGCACTAGTTGTTCACCTTATTGGCTCTGGTAAGCCATCTATAACGGGTTTACCTGGGCTGCTATCATCCGAAAACAATCAGGAAGGACATGAATGTAACAGATGTCAGTGTATGTGTAAAAGGCCCACACTGCAGGCTTTAGGTTAGTTAAAGTTACAGCGTGTAAAATCTCACTGCTCAATGTTAGTGAATTTAGTAACCCTTTCAATTCAAGTTTATGAACCTAACTACTGTAGGAAAAACATTTTAGTCAGTCGAGAGATCAAAAACATTAAATTTAGACTACACCCACAACAGCGTTTCTACCTTTTGTATATAAAAATCATTTTTGCGTATACTGTATTTTAACAATAACAATTAGCAATAAATCAGGATTATAAAATGGATTTGTGTCAGTTAAACATATATTTTGATGACCACCTCAAATTCTGGCCGCTGTTCACATGCAGTGAGTGGTGAGTGTAGGTTATCAGTCTGCCGTTTACCTCAGCTGCCAGTGTGTGTACATGTGTATTTGCTCTGGAGGAGGCTGTAAAACTTTGAGAAAGGAGTCCGATAGGAGTCGATGAGCCAGTGAAGTTCACTTCTGTCTGATAAAAGCTATAATGAGGAAGATTTTGAGGATATCCTGAGCTTTTCTGTTGGTAAAAATGCTGTTTTTACCGCTGTTAGTGAAACTTTCTTAGATGTGGATCTAATATTGTTGGACATCGTATGAATAAATTACTATATGATGTGAGAATGTAATCAAATTGTTTATCTGACACTTGAGCCTTACATTAGCTGGGATGTTAGCTTATAACCAGCTGTTGCTGCTGTTTAGCCATTTATGCACATCTTGTGTTAGAGCTCTGACTTTGATGCAGGAGATGAGGCCTACGGTGAGGTAAAAATGAGGGTGGAGATGTAGTAGTAATGCAGGAAGCAGATGACGAGGAGAAAAAGATGACAATATGCACATGCTAATGTAAGTGTTTGATAAAGCTATTTAACCAAAGTAATTAAAAGTTGATTTCCTTTGACTTAATTGTTTTAGCTCTATTTATGAGTAATCACTCAGGAAGTCACAGGTTATATGTGTGAGGCTTGTCAATATGTTTTCAGGTTTATTTTATGACTCATGAAATCCTTAAGTATAGATACTCAACACTTCTCTTTGTCTCTCTCTTATTAGCACTTGAGTGCTATGAAGTAAGACTTTATTTTCTCTCAGGTTGCTTTGTGAACAAACATCACGCTGAACTGACACCCGCTGCCTACCACAAACGCTCCTGCATCACTTAAGTGTGAAAACTAACAGAGCAGTTTTATTGCACTTTACATTAGAATTATACTTCATTCAAAGAAATGCTTATTTGAGGCAAAGATGGCTCACTGTAGCATTTCAGTAGATGGAAAAGACAAAAACAAAAGCTGCATGAGTAATTGGTCCTAAAGGTATTTTACCATAAGGATATAACAGTACTGAGCAGATGATTCTCTGTTGTTTGTACCACCCATGAAAGGTGTTGGATGTCCCAGTCAGAGCCTCACATTCCCTGTTAGGTTTGTGAAACCTTAGAAGTGTTTCACAGCTTTTTTTTAGCTTTCACCCCTGAATCACAATCATTCTTAACAAAGATGTTGTAAAGATGGTTAAAAGCTAAAAGCCCACAAACAGCCTAGCTGGCCTCTAATAACACAAGCTGCTGCATATGAATAGTGTCCTCACCCCTTTAGGACTGAAAGAGGAAAAAATCTCACACTGTAATGACTCAAGGGCAGGGATAGCTCAGTAGGTAGAGTGGTGGCCCCATGATTGGAAGGTCGGGGGTTCGACTCCACTGAACGGCTACCCTGAGGTACCCCTGAGCAAGGTACCGTCCCTACACACTGCTCCCCGGGCGCTGCACTGGTGGCTGCCCACTGCTTCACTGGGTGAATGGGTTAAATGCAGAGGAACTATTTCCCTATGGGGACTAACATGCACACTTTATTTACTTTATTTAAGACTGCAAACTAAGGCTTTGCAACCAAATGAGTTAGTGACTCTGATAAATGAAAATGCTCCCAAATACTTTTCATATCTTCCCTGTATAAATTTATTTCATTTTTGTCTTAAGTATATGATCATTTTAATAGTATTTCAGTAAACTGGAATATCATTTCAAACTTACTTTTAGTTTAGTTGTAGCTGACTACAACAGCCTTCTGAACATGTAAATATATAGACAGCTTTCCAGTGTGCATGCATATATTCATTATAAAGGAACATCAATGGATAGAGTATTTGTGAAATTGAATATTTTAAACCCAGTTTTTTTTGTTCTACTTTTTCCAGGGTTATCACAATTTTAATGAAGATATTCCAATATGGTATGCCAAATTTAAAATATATTAGTCACATGGATGGGTTTTGTTTCTCAAAGCAACAACCCTGTGTAGAATAGAAGCCACAATGAACATGAGGTTATGCACAATGTATATTTTTCCTTCTGAGTTATTATTCAAGATGATCTAAAACATAAATATGAAACCCAGACACAATGTAGAAAGCATAGCACCTAACCGAACCTCCCTCTGGCCTATTAGCAGTAATGTTTTTAGCGTGAGGTTGCATGTAATGAACACAGTACATGCAAAAATAAATAATGCCCTCCCAACAAAGTCTTGGTAACTTTCATCGGTAAACTAAACAGACTCGCTTCGTCACATCTCTCTTTTATTTAAAACATTCCAATAAAGAAGGGAGAAAAAAAAAAAATTCAGAGTTGCTTTATGTTTTAAACATTCATCGTTTTGACTTCTATGTACAGTTTACATGGTGGAAGGTTCACTGCAGAGATTTCCAGTCACAGGTTTACTCGATCTACGCCTTTGGGCTTGCTTCAGCCTAAAGTATGTATCAATACAGTTAATATTTTCATAAAAAGGCACTAATGACAGGCTAGTGTACAACATATTATAAAGAACTGTAATTCAACAGGTGTCAGCAAAAATCATAAATAGCTTTTGCCTTTGGCTGTGATCAAACTGAGCTCAATCACTGAAAGAATTTACATATTAACATTTTTTTCTATTACATATTAAGGCTCAATAAATACAAGCACTTAAAATTAAAAAAAAAAATAAAAATTTGCACAATCATCAAGTTTCACAGGAATGTAACAAGAGTCTGCAACAAGGCTGCAACAGTTTATATAATACGGGGAGGGGGGGAAGCCACCAACAGGTCACGAGCATGAAAACACTTAGGTGTGAGCAAATCAGGAGATTGTTCCTTTGACCCACGAAGCTATGAAACTCATTGTGTAGTTCATTATCAAGCAGTTTGCCACCTTGCCAATTTACAGCAGGTCTGCACATTGAGATTCAAAATGAAATGGGGACATTAATCACACTAAATTTCAAAATCCAGCTCTTCTGAGCAAAGGTTCCTTTCAATGTAATTAAGATTTAAAAAAATAAAAAATAATACACACACCACAGGAAATGAGTCTGTCCATCTTCCTGAGCAGATGGCCTGAAGCACCATTCAAAAGCAGGCATCACTTAGAATAGCACCAGTGAAACTCCCAGATATGAAATGATTGGCTCTTTTTCAGACCAAAACCAGTCTAAGGAAAAAGAAAAGCCACGACAGCTGCTGCACATCTGTGGGCTTGGTCAAGCTAAAATCAGTTTTGAAGTAGCTGCTGCTGATTCAGACCAACATTTGCTAATTGTATATGTATTAAATATATTAAAAAACAAAACAAAAACAAACTTAAAGTTAGGTAGCCTGTGAGCTGCATTCTCTGACCATATCAAAGGAGTCAGAATGGAAACGTGAACACGCTGATCTTAGCCTTCGTCACCTTTAACCACAATACTGTTGGCAGGATTGTCAACAGGGACAAATCCCAATATTTTACAGCTGAACGTTGTCAATTCATCACCATGGCTACTAAAAGTCTGATCTTAGTGTTTAAAAAAAAAAAAAAAAAAAAAAAACACAACAACACACCCACACAACACACGCACACACACACAAAGCTACATGAGGTCAGTTTGCCCAAAATTGTGCATCATTCAGCAAGTGGCTCCTATCGGACTAAGGAGAGGTAGCACGTCTCTCTGGTTTTGTCCTGGTCAGGGATTGGGTGGCTTCTCTGTGCTGCTGGGTGGTGTCAGAATTGGTCCCGCGGCAACAGGCGATAGCTGACCGGCGTTACTCTCAGAGAACATACACTCCTGAGCCATTCTCTGCAGGAAGAAACAGTTCCATGTTAGTAATTAAAATCACTTTAAGCTCCTAGGACCTGGCGTCCACATATGTGGACATCACATTTTGGGTTATTTAGACCAAAATACTCAATTTTTGCTCTACAAGGGCCTGATATCCACTTACGAGGACATTATACTGCTACTGTTCTATCAAAATTTTAAACGAATATCCTCAGATGTGGCTCTTATTTTTCGTATAAACAAAAATCAGGTTTAAAAAAAAAAAAAAAAAAAAAAAAAAAAAAAAGACAAAAATCTGTCCAGTAGGGCTGCACAATTTTGCATAAAATGAGAATCATGATTTTTTTTTGCTTAGAATTGAGATCACGATTTTCTTTTCCAATATAAATATTTATTGCACATCAACTTCGTAACAGTTGAGACCGAACATAAAAACAACAAATGTCTCACATTTTGTCGTTGCCGCAAAATGTTGTACTGCTTGCAATTCTGTCTCCACCGTTGCTCGACACTGCGTGTATAGAGCAGGTAGTGCAACAATAGAAAAATAGTTGCGGGACGGCACTGTGTAGAGTTTGTCTAGGGCGACCGTTTTCCTAAATCCCTCGTTTTGCACAGTGTTGATGGGAGCCATATCTTTAGCCAGGCGATAAGTGATAGCCTCCGTAATTTCTTTGTGCCTGCAGGAGTTCGACAGGTATGGGGAAGCGCTGTATAAGGTTCCCGTTATTGATGGTTGGGTGGTTGACTGGGACGGATTTTCTCCTGTCACTTTCTCCTCATCTCTCACGTGCTCTCCGTTGTTTTTTTCCCCCTGCCAATTTTAGCAGCCAGCTGGCTTCTGTATCACGTGGTATAAGGCTCCGACCTTGTCATTTGTTGAGTAGGAAGAGTGAGCGCTTGTTTTCATGCAGATTATGTCCCGGATCAAAATGCGGTACAATAGTCTCTTTTTTTTTTTTTTTTTAAACATAGTTGTCATTTGGAAATGAGATCGCACATAAGTATGAATTGAGATCGTGATTTTCTAACGATTAATTGTGCTGCCCTACTGTCCAGTCAGTCATAAAATCAAATTTCAAAGCTTTCATGTCATTGATGGATGAACACATGTAGCCGGATTAAGCAGTTTCCCTAATGATCAAATTTGCCAATTTATACCAAGTAGACCCTGAATGATCAGGCAAGTTTTTAAAAACCCGAGTACCATTTTTACCAGGTAAAAGCCTGATATTGGTGCCTTACTTTTCCAGCGACAATAACAATAAGTGTTACACTATGGTAAAACAATTTAAGTGGCCTCAGTTATATTCTTTCTTTCCCTTTTTGGGCTCGAGTCCTCCACCGGTTCTGTAGAAATATGTGAAATTTAAGCCAAAGAATTAACAACTCTTTCAATTATATAGACTTATATATAAGGCATGCATTGCTCTAAGCTCTTGCAAGGAGGCTTCTATATAGATATTTAACTACACTTTCTAACCCTTTTAAAAACATTCAAAATTGTGTATTACTTTACAGTGATACTAATCTTGCATTTCAGATTCTGAGTTTTCTGTCTACTTTTTCTTACCAGTAGGTTCAGATAGGCCACGTGTGTCTGGATATTGTGTCTGTCATCTGCTCTGACTTTTGGGAAGTTCTTGAGCTGAGGTTTGGGTTCAGATCGCAGTGTTTCCATGAAGGGAGTCATCCACTGATAACACTGAGACACACTATCCCATGTGAGACCTGAGACAAAAACAAGTTAACGATTGTGAGTGAAGTTATAAAACAAAGAATGCCACCAACAAATAGAGCCACAAAAAAAAAAAAAAAAAAAAAAAAAAAAAAAAAATAGAAATTAAATCTGATGATGTGAATGGGGAAACTCACCTGAGACTTTATGAACAACGTCAAAGGTGGAAAAGTGGCAGAAGGCAGCTGCGGCAAGAACGCTGTAGTTATAGTCGAGCGCGGTGATGTCCATCATACACAAGTCCAACAGCTGCAACATGCAAGTCAAAGATCAGTATAATACTGAATCAGAAAGTGTTTGCATCATTTTTTTTTTTAATTCAAACAGATGAATAAACAAGGATAAACAGAAAAAGAGGATTTAAATAAATGTAGCAGCTGTTGAAAGTACCTGTGTGATCTGGATGTAGGTTTCCTGGGAGAACTGCGGCTCCAGGAAGTTCACTCCATTTTTCTGGGCTTCAACCTGAGTGTACAGCTTCAACCAGGAGATGGGGGTCTCAGGACAAAGGTTCCAGTCTAACGCCTATGGGACAGCAACACGGAGGTCAACACAGAAACTTTGATTGCTACCACTCAATATTACAAGATTAGATTAGAAAGTGAAGTAGATGAGTTTGCGTACCTTTAATATCTGAAGCTCTGTGCGCTGGATGTCCCACTGGTCGCAGGCACCGTCTGTGACATAGGCAAACTCGTAGGTTTTAGGAGGGTAGATTTCCTGATGAGAAAGAAGGGGCAAAGTTGGTTATTGAGATTAAACGTCATCAGCACAAACAGAGGTTTGACTATCAGAAATATCTGACTCTATAAGAATTAAGACACTCACCTCTATCTTGGAGGCTATGAAGAGCGCCGTGATGCCGATGAGTTGCAGGTAGTCTTTGTTGATATTCTCCTGAGTGAGCATGAAGCGGTCAAAGTAGTCCTGGGCAAGGTACGCTGTCTGTCTGTGAAGGCTGTACACCTCACTCACCTGCCGGGGCAATCGGACATAAAGGCTGAGTCTTTGTCCAAAACCAGAACAGTCGAATTTCTGCACATTAAAGATTTTCACGCTCACCTCAAGCAGCCAGTCCAGGAGAATTGCCCTCATCTTGGGCTGCAGTTTAGGATGCCGCTCCAGGTAGCTCTTGTCATGAACGTACTTCAGCTCCTTGTTAAGCATTTTGATCCACACATCGTCCGAACTAGCCCAACTGGAAGAGAAATGGCAAGTTTTAACCATTTATGCTGGTCAATAAGTACATGCAACAGTGATGCTAACAACTGACTACAGACTGGACAAAATCCAAGAGGTGAATTAACAAGTTCTGCAGACAAAGCAAGTAACAGGATACATCTGAAACTTGATTTTTACTTGCAAAGTGACTTTGACTGTAATTGAGGGCCTTGAACCCTAAATACCAGGTGGGGTGGAGCAACATCTCCAACAACAATAGCGCTGTGGAGTATTAAGTGTTGCGCTACGACCTCCCTATTGAGGTGTAAAAGCTACACTTACCTGAGATGAGGAATGGGCGAAGCCTTGATGAAGAGGTTCTTGAATGTGTATTGTTTGAAGTTGGACGGGTTTGCTGGTTTTAGCTCTTTGTGGGGAGTTTCTATGAGAATGCATGGAGACGCTCCATCCTCTGACCAACACTTCTGGAAAGAAAGAATAAAACTTGAATTTAAAAGAGGAGACGGAAACTCCCAGACCTGACTGTTGGTCAAGCAGATGTATTAACATACTAAAAGGGATTAATCTGGCACATCCCATTGCTCTGAACAAATCAAAGTTACTCAACATTGTGACTTCACCTAGTCACAATGTTAAATTTGCAAAATGTATGATTTTCTGTGGAATCGGTGGCTGCATTTCTCTGTCATTTTTGACACTGCCTACATACTAAGTGTCATCTCATCTACAGCAGGACTCTACGTTACACCACCACTGTGAAGTTCAGTTTCATATCATGCTAAACAGCGACACCTGCTGTTGAATAAAAGGTAGTGCATGGCTACGACTAGAAATTTACTACTGAAACCTTTTCACCTACTCCTATAATATGATCTTATCCAGATACAAATCTGCTAGAAATAAGTCACTTAGGACCATGTATCAAGTCATGAGAGAAAATAGTTAAATAAAATATTTTAATTAAATAAAAAGGAAACAATGCAAACAAAGCCCATTTTCGACTACAGGCACCCATTCTATCTATAAATACAGAGACCATTTACTATAAAGCTTTACTATGTAGTATATGGTGGAAATTAAATTAATTTCCTTATAAAAAAAAAGTTGGGCTCACACACACACACACACACACACACACACACACACACACACACACACACACACACTGGGCTGAGCTCTTATCAGTAACAAACAGTCATTAAGCATCAATATCATTTGGGCAGTACTAACTTGTATTTCATAGCTTTGTTTCTTGGCAGCGGGTTGTAGTTTCTTCTTAGAACACTAAACAAGAAAAGACAGAAACATGTGCCTTTGAGCTAAAAACAGGACAAAGCTGAGACAAACACTGATAAACTGAAACACAGGATTGCAGCTAGTAACAGAAACAAACCTCAGTCTTTCTTTTCCTCAGCGTGACGGTGCTATTTGGATCTCTGGCTTGAAGAGTGATGCGATCACTGAAATTAAAATTAAATAAGAATGGTCAAATAAGAATCTGCCTCTTGCTCACTGAAATATTAATCGAATTAATCTGCAATTAGAACCAACTTAAAAAAAAAATAAATATTGGTGATCAACTTAAACACCAGTATTGATGGAAATAATGACTGGGCCACAGTGACAAAAGCAATCAGCAAGGCAACTGTATTAGGAGTTTCGCCCATTTAAAGAAAGGGGTGATTACCGCTTGATGGATTTAAAGCTTTTACATTTGAGTGACTGGCCATCTTATCTTACTACATGTGATTGTGAACTGGTGACAAGTACAAAAATGTATGACATCACTGTAGGCTCTAAAACCTAATCACATTTACAACAGACTATGCCTTTCAGCAATCAAAACATTAAAAGCAACAGTGAACAGACAATGTGATCCAATCTAACTGTACAAACATCGATTAGTTTTCACCTCCAGTCACTCATCTCTGCTTAATTTGAACAATGGTGTCATTAAAGTCTCCTGATGTATAAACATCTGGAGTTTGATCTCTGAGGACCAGTTTATGCACATTTAGAAATGTGCTTAATAGCTTTGCTGTAGGGTAGTGGCTCCACTTCACCTCCGGGCCCCCAGTTTCAGAACAATCACCAAGAGGTGCTCACCTGCGCCTGGACATGGTGCTGACTGTATTGTATGGCTCCGCTGTAAAGAAGAAAAGGAGAGATTATATTAAATTCAATATTAACACTGAACAGAGATATTAAAACAAAAAAAAAACAAACCAAACACTTGGGACAAATAATTCAAATTCTCGTGGAAGTTTTCAAGAGTTAAGTGGGCCCTTTCTGAAGAAAATGCCCCCCCAATGCAACTAGGCATCTGGTTTAATGCTATAGGATCATATACAACCAAAAAAAACTGTTTAAAAGTGAATGATCCACAGCTGGATCCTAATACGCTCAACAACCTCAGATATAATAAGACATCCCTTTGTAGGATTACTTCTAACTTGCTTACAAGTGATGGTTAGCTTATAATAACATATGCAGTGTTAGCTTGTGGCCACCATTTTAGGAGCCACGGAGATTCGATAAAAACCGAGAACGGGGAATTAACAATGCCGACAGACTGCATATAAGGACTACCAAGTGTCTCATTTCAGAGTAAAAAGGTAAAACTGATTAAAAACGTGATAAATGCAGAGCCAAAGCAGCCAGGCAGGACCTGTAAGCTAGTGTGGTATCTGCAGCCAGAAAAGAGGGGGGCTGGTTTTTCCCTCGATTTTGAACAAAAAAAGCGGAGAAATCCCGCAATTCATATCAAATTTACCACTTTCAGCGTCACAATATACATCTCCAAACATCTTTGGTGTATTTAGAATGAGTGAAATCGACAAAATACTAACTTTAATTCGGGGTTGAAACTCAAAGACGCGCCAATTTCCGCAGCGTAGAAGCGGGAGGATTTGAGCCCTACCTCCCCGAAACTGCTCCAAGCCTGCCGGGTTAAAATAGCCAAAAAGACCGCTTAACATAAACGATATATAATTTAAAGCCACCTGGGCACCTAAAACAAACCCTTATGAAGCACATTTGTCAACAAGAGGATTTTTAAGCGCTACAAAGTAGGAGAAACTGAGACCGACCTCAGGCCAAAGATACAGAGGGGAGCTACTGTAATTAGCAAACTTAGCTCGGTAACTCCTAACTAGGTCAACAATAACCAGCTAACCCCGATGTGTACTTAAACTGGGCATCTACAGCTTTTGCATGCAAACGCATTGATAAATGCTTGGTTTAAGGAAACGTGCACAAATGACAAAGACAACGTGAGGACGTAATTTTGTACAAAGTTTTAAAGCTACACGCCTCAGTATTTTAACAGAATCTCCACCAAAAGGCCAAATTCTCTCTAAATACACATCTGGCACGACATGCAAGAGCCAACTAAAGTAGAACAGACTACATCAGAGGTGGAAACAATGCCCGGGCAGTTAAAAAACAAGTAAACAACAAGAACACAAGAAAGCAGTCCCCGCTTTAGTCCGCATTTGAATCCTTTTTGCGCCAATAACGACGACTTAAATACGAAACCTAAGATGAAAACCGCAGGAAAGGTTAAGCAGCTTCGAGGCATAAAATATTAAACTATAAATATTCATATAGCTGAAGTCTCCGAGTCGGTGCTCTTACCTCCTTAGTGAAGAATGAATGAGTACATCAGCTGTGGCGCCGGCGCCAATCCTTATATCCGCATCTGCCTGCCTCCTGCCAGTGCGCATGCGCGTTCCCGGTTTCACAGAAACGCGCTAAACGTTTAAATACGAATTGAGATTTGTACAAACCGGCTAAACTGGACGGTTCTAATCGGGTTGTTATAACTTCGACCGCGATAAAACAGCTTATTGACAGGCTCAGGACGGAGGTAAACCGGCTGTGCTTCCAGTTTGTCTGGAGCCTCCGTTCATTTCTAAGGGACACCGAGCTGAAGTATGAATTATGCAGTAAACACCACTTTCTGTACATTGCGGTTAAACTTTAACGATTCCGTAGACACCCTTGAGTATACTAGCAATAGATATTGGTGGTAATTATTTCAATCCGTGGAGTTATTTTCGCTTTTTTACGCGGCATCGAAACTCCTTCCGCATCCGAGTCCCGCCTGTGGGAGGGAGCTCCATGACGTAGAGCCAATGAGAAGGCGAGCAGCTGCAGCCGCGTGCTCCTGCAGAATGTAAACAGAGGACCACGTGCATCTGCTGTCAAAAAGAAGTGCTGAAAAGCTGCTGCTACTTCCAACTTTTAACTACAACAATTATAATTACTTCACGAAACAATAGCAGAGCAGCAGTTATAAGAAAGTAAATAAAATAACTTGAGATTACCAACCAGTAACGAGAAAATAAAACTGACAAAAAAGGCACCAAGCCACTACAGAGATTCCTAACAACAATAAAGTGGAGTAAAAAAAACCAAAACAAAAAACCCAGACAAATACTCAAAAACAAAGAGCCAAATAATTAAGAATGCCATCAGTAAAAAAATGCTAATATAAACCTCATAAATAGATTTTTTTTTTTAAAAAGCAACTACAAATAAGTCAGAGACAAAGAGATAATATGGGAATATAGATATGTAAAACACCAAAGTGGATCAAAAAGATCACTGAGAGGCATAAAACAGCTGCCAATACACAGTCAACTACTACAGAGACTCCTAAAAATCACAACATTACAAAGGGCTCAAAAGAGTCTTACAAGAACAACAGAGAGACATTAAATAACCATAAGTAGACACAAAATGGCTGTAAATAGACAAAACTGTTGCAAAACAACAAGCACTTTGAGAGCACAACCCTCCGGAAAGGCAGCTTCCTCTCCAGGCAGTATTTACTTTTAAGGGAATAGTATTTTTTGTACATATTCTTTGTTTTCTTTGTTGTTGTAATTTGTACATTAAGAAGTTATTTCATTGTTATTTTCAGCATTTTAGGAGCACCTTATCTAGCACTTTATTTAGCATCGTACTTTAAGCATAGATTTGCAGAGGAAGAACATTTGCATACAAAGTTTAATTATTTATTGAATATTTATTGTGTATTTTAAAATCAGTTGGTAGCCTTTGTTCCAGGTCCTGGACAGCTGCTCCTCGTCAAGAAATGTGGTGGTTGTCTGTGAAAAGGAAAGGTTGTGATTGAGAGCAAATAAGGTTTACCAGTAAGGATAACTAATGCAAGTGTGTGTGAAAATCTAGAAATAAAGGTGGTGCAAAGAAGCAACTGTAAGACACAATTACTCACCTTTCTTTCTTGTGTCCTGTTCAGGGTGTTTGGGCAAATGTTTCCTTGGGGGTCCAGACACCATTTAAAGGTTCCGGGAGAGGCCATGGGTTAAGAGAGTGTGGCGTTTTTATAATAATGGGTATGGTGTAAGGATAAAGTGTAAAATATGTATTCATATGAAAATGAAAAATGTATTTAGATATTTATTTATTTATTTGAGTTGATTTATTGTATAATGTGGTGGAAGGTTGGGTTTGAGAACTCACCTGTTAATAGAATAATGGTTTCGCCTGCAACAGCTGAAAGTACTTAAGGCTGCTAGTTGCCATTACATGGGTGGACTGTTTGGAGAGGAGAGCTATCTGATAAAGAAATACCCTTTGTTCCACTATACTTGTCTTGGTCTGCCTCATTGTAAATCCAACCACAAAAGGCTGCCCTGTAACAAGCAGTAAACCTCAGAGCAGGAGCAGCAGATCAGCTGATCACAGCCTGTACACTAAGAAAATCTACTAAAGCTCACAATCAAAACTATTGTGAGCTTGGAGTCTTTTCCCCACACTGAGCCACTACAACCAATTTAAGGGTTCCTCCACCTGATGAATCCACTTTAACCTTTGACTGTACTCGTTTCCCTTTTTAGGTGTGGCATTAAAGTTACTCTCTACGATGTAGACAACAGAAAATAGAGCTACTTTTAAAAAATGCACTCTTTTTTTCTTTGCTCGTGTTCTACATAATTGATTCAAGCTAAATAGATTCAATAGAATTAAAATTTAGACTGAAATACTTAAAGCTCTTGGTAATATGGTCATGTAGCAGATACTTGTAACATTATTTCAAAGGTGGATACAAGCATCAGTTTGTGCATTTTGTCCGTCTGATGCCACTAGTTTGAAAAAGACCATCAGTCACTTGTCAGCAGCTTCTTGTTCTGAGGCAATAGTGCTAACCACTGCACTCCCTAGAATATGAAGTTATCTTCTGCAGTATTATGTGTTATTTCTTGCTTTTGGTTGTTGTGTTAATAAGCAAAACTGAGGCTAAAGAAAAAGACAAAGACAAGAAAATTGTGTATGAAAACATTTATTAGAGGCTAATAAGAGATCACATGTATTAACTATTACAGTGTGAAAACAGATGACCCCACTTTTAATTAGCTTTTTTTTTGTTTCTGATATCAGAACAGAGTGATCTGTCATACATCCAAAAGACAAAGGAAACCAGTTATGTTGATAAATAAAAAGGTAACCCTAAAAGTCCTACACCTTTTTTCTTTTTGGCAAAGTGCAGTATTATTCCAGTAAACTACACAGAAAAGCAAAAAATGACAAAACAAAACAAACAAAAACCCAAAAAGTCTAACACTTAGTGGAAAAATGCCATAAAATATTCTTCACACTTACAAATAAAACAATAGGAGAAAAAAAGAGGTTTTGCTACATCATTCTGTCTGGTTTGTTGAGTCATTATAAAAGCTGTACAAGGACTGGGCGGATGGTGGTGGCGAGAGCATATGAGCTTCCTCGAATGATGCATAGTTGGTTTCTGATGTTTGTCTGTGTGTTTTAATTTATTATTACGTCCACTTAAAAAGTTAAACAAAAAGAAAAACGAGTTCAAGTTCTTCATTGATGCATTGTCATCATAACATTTCAACCTGGAAGGCACGTGATCCACAAATTTCAAGGCATTGAACAAAAAGCATTACAAATCCCTGTTAGATTAATGATGGAGAGATGAGCTGAGAACAGATACTTAAGAAAAAAAACAAAAGAACAAATAAATCGTTTAAGGCTCCTGACAGCAGGAGGAACCTCCGATCCCTTCTGTCTTTAAGTTTCTCTTTTTCAAAAAATAAAATGACACAAAATAACATCGTTCGTGATTGCAAAACTCACTGCAGAGAGAGACATTCGAGAAAGGACAAGGAAAAAAAAAGCTTGAAAACACAAGAGATCCACTCTACTACAGTTTACGATTATTTACAGCAAATAACAAAAATGCCTTACAGGGCTTTGTTAACAACGCTACCTTCCCAGAAACTCGACTAGAGACATTCAGTCAGGTTTACAAGGCGATTAGAAGACCACACTGCAACAGTTTCCATTAAAAGTGACTGAATCTTTTCTCCTCCATAATATGTGTTCGTTCCACGCTGCATCTCCGTATCTTCAGAACAGGATCGGTTTCCAAAACATCATCGTTAGGCAAATTTACAGAGTTTAGTAAGTTTCTGTTGATGTGTGTAAGGAAATGAATTTTTTTTTAAGTTGATAAATAAGCAAAATGTGAAGTTATATGTAGAGTCCTTCACCTGTTCTTAAATTATTTGCGAACATTAAAATGGTTGCCGATTTCTGCCAGACAAAAAAAAAAAAAAAAAAAAAAGGGGTTTAAAACAGAAAAAAATTAAACATTTTGGAACAAATTTTCAGTTATAAAAAGTCACAGACTGAGTCAAATTTTCTGTTTAACATCAGACAAACATACATGCTCCAGAACTTTACTTTAAACCTGTTTACCCTATATATAGATTTAAATAGTCTTTTTTTTTTGGCAGAAATGGTCTTCCATAGATTTTAGTCACTCTATAAGGTTGGTTATTTCTCAACTTTTGCAGTGTGGCGACTCGGCCTGGGCTCCGCTTATCCCTACAGCAGACACATTAAACCATTAAACAGTCTACCATTTTAGAGCACCGTAACCGAGAGCTGTTATCAAACACTCAAACAATTTAAAAAAAAAAGAACACCAGTATAATAAAACTACGGAGAGATTAAAGATCACTGCTACTTTTTTTTTGGTTTAAATATTTAACGAAATGTAACTACGTTAACATGGAAAAGAGAACAGTTAAAATAGCATAAGGTACATTTCTAAAACCATGTTAGGTACAGTTGAGCAAAATATATAAACATAGCTGAAAAAAACCAACAGTTTCTCTCCATCCTGATGGATTTCCAACAGTCAACTGATAGTGTCAGAGTTCATTTCACAGTCCCGGGACCAAAAGACGTTTCTGTGACACTAAACAAGAAGTTGATTATTTCTCACAAAGGTTTTCACAGAGGGAAAGCACGCAGGGACATAGCTGGAAAAGTCCGAGTACACACAAAGAATCATCAGCCGTCAAGTAAATCTGCATTTTCCTAAAGAGTAAAGGTGATTGGTTGTGACCCTGAGAAGTGGACTGCAGATTCATTTAAGAACAAAAACAAAACAGAAAAAAAGAAAGAAAATAATAATTATCCATTTTTCTTTTTTTCCCCCCACCATCATGACACTAACAAAACTCTACAACCATGCAACAGATTGCACACTATCATAACCAAACACACCTAAGCAAGAAACCATGGACGCATATATACCAACTTCATACTGATATGTAATTTGTTTTTTCTTTTCAAAAAATATTTTTGGAAGTTTTTTTTTGTTTTACATATTTTTTAACATTTCTATTTATCTCAAAGCTACTGTTAAAACAAGGCGTTTAGTGATATTTAACCCAGTATTTTTTCCATTTTTTTCTTTTCTTTTTTTCTCCTTTAAAGAAATATCATGAAAAGTACTGAATTATAAAGTCAGAGGCAGGTTCAGCTGGAGCTGCAGGATGAGCAACATGGAAGTTTTTCACCTCTGGTGGTGCTGCAGAGCTCAAAAAGCAGGAACTTAAGGAAAAATACCCTTTAAAAGCTTTAATACAGCTGTGTTTTGCTTCACTGGCTTCATTTGTGGTGTTTTCGAAGCTTTTTAATAATCAGTCAAACACACACAGCATAAGGTTGGGTGAAGGGAACGAGTTTCTT